CAAACATATTAACATTATAAATAGTCCTAAGCCGAAAGTAAATGTAGTTGTGGCGTTGTGCTGGGTTGCTCGCTCGTCTAATCAAACGCAAATGAACGTAGGAAGGAAACATTTGGAAAGCGCGATCACTAGTCTGCTGTTCTTCGGAGCAGAGTTATTTTTCAGTTTTCGTTGATTTAATGTACATAGTATACACATAGATAAAAAGTAACACCCCATCAGCCGAGCCAAAAGTAGGAAAAATATGTATGTCAAACAATAAGATAAACGCTCTCCGAGTTTAGAGTAGAAAAATTTGCTGACTGAAAAAAATCTTTACATATCTTTATATGTATATGTATATGTATATGCACATATGTACATATGTGTGTACGTTGCTGTCGAAATAATAGCATCGATATTCAGAATGGTTTTGCTTGCAATTGTGTTTATTTATTTATTTCTAATAATTTGCATTTAAATTATAGTTCGCTCTATAAGAGAAAAAAGTAATTAAAAAAATTTAACAAGTTGTTAATAAAATAAGGAAAAATCGATCGCGCCACTATTCGGCCACTTTTTTTTTTGCGAAGTTATTCTTTTTATATAGGTAACTTGCAGACCCGTCGAACTTCGTCCCGCCCAAAATTATTATTTTTTTTTTATTGAAACATTTGGTCCAACGTTTTCGCCAGCAATTCACGTTCACGTTTGGTTTGTGGTCGACAGAAGGCATATCCTTCATTGCCGTCTTAGATAATCTGACGAAAGCGTTATACCTCTGCTACCACCAGCGGATTCCGAGTTGAATACTTTCAGAGCTGGAGCGTCGGTGTCCATTCGAACGACATGGCCAAGCCAGCGGAGCCGCTGTATTTTAATTCGCTGCATTATGTCCATATCGTTGTAAAGCTCATACAGCTCATAGTTCCATCGTCTGCGGTACTCGCCGTCGCCAACGCGTAAAGGCCGCGGTGTTATTGCTTGTTCCCAATTAAATGAAATTCTCTACCTTCTCGAAATTAGTGACGTGGGTGCCAAGGCGCGAATGTGCTGACTGTTTATGTGTTGACAGGAGATACTTCGTCTTGTCCTCGTTTACCACCAGACCCATTCGCTTTGCCTCCTTATCCAACTTGGAAAAGGCAGAACAGACTTCGGGGTTTTTGTTACCGATGATGTCGATGTCATCGGCATAAGCCAGCAATTGCACGCTCTTGTAGTAAATCGTTCCTAAGCGGTTCAGAGCGGTAGGTTCGCGAGATC